ACAAAATAATTAACGAAATATTTTTGAGGTTTTTGCCCTATTTTAAAATATAAAATGCTGTATGAATTAAGTACCTTCAAATGGAACCGCAAATCGACGATAAATAATGACAATAGCAGCAGTAGCAGCAACAGCAACCACAACTACCTACGGATATCGAACCTTATTTCAAAAATCCTTTAAATCTTGAAAATGGTGCACACGAGACAATCCAAGTAAAGAGTAAAAACCGCAGAGCGAAATGGTCTCAGGAATCTTACTTGGTATAAATCACCTTGTGTAATTTTACTTTAAGAAAAACGAGATTTAATTTGTTTTTAGTTTTTTGATAATTTTTTTTAAGACGGTGGACACACAAACAACATTGCATGTTATTCATTGAAATATGTCCACTATTTCTTTATCCCTTTGTGTTTTGTTTAAATTGAATTTTTATAAAACTAGCTTTACATACATCTCTTTCTCATTTGTACTTTTGGTTTCAGCGATATCCCATTTAAATAATCTTTAATTTTCCTAAAGTAGAACACCTCGTATCTTATGTCTGTCTCAGTCGTAGTAAATCTACTGGGCTGCTTTTGATCAAGTCTTTTTTTCCCATAATATGTTAGCTTGTTTTATGGTATTAGCGTTAAATATTTCTTAAAATAAGAACTGGAAATCCTCAAATCGTTTAGTAAAATTAAAATATTCTTTGCGAATCGATAAATCTCTCCATCTGAAAGATGAAAACTAAAACACAAAATCAAACCAATCGTATTTACTCACCAGATTATATATCCCAGATGTTCAAAGTGCTTATCAAAGTGCTCTTCGTATCTTTATCTTGTTTTTTGAAGAAAACGTGGTACATTACATCCCGGCTTACTCGCAAATGACTCACCTAGTTCGAACAGGCGGCGATCAAAGATTATCCGATAGTGTTTATATGCACTGCCGATATCAGGAGACAGTAATTACTAAATGTTTATAAATATACCCGAAGGAGATATAATATAGTGTTATGGCGATAACAGCAGCTTTTCTTGATTAGATCAACTTTTCGTCGGTTTTTAGTAGATTTGATGGTTTTTCATATACGTAAACACATTTTTTTGGTTCTGAGCGTGTTGTCTCTTATGCTAAGCAAATATAACTTATGTTTCAATGTTTGGTGAGTTAGTAATGTAATCACGCTGAAAGCGAGACCGATATGAGGACTTTTATTAAAGCATCTGTTCAATTTCGTTAAAGCATTTCCATGATAACATGATTTTAAAGAAAATATTTTTCCAACATCAATAAGTGGAAATTGTTTTCCAAAACCGTAGGAACGGAGTAGAGTAGTGGCCCTCTGTATCTAGTGGTCACCCTGTATCTAGTGATCACCCTGTATCTAGTG